TGCAATTGTGCCAACTATAGTTGTAGCAATTATCTTTAATAGATCTGAGGCTTCGTTGGATGTTTTGAATGAATGGCTTAATGTGCTTCAGTCGATTCAGATTCCTTTTGCCCTTATACCACTTCTTACCTTGGTGTCCAAGGAGCAGGTCATGGGGGTCTTCAAGATTGGATCTGGTCTCGAGGTATGTTGTTAACGTTGTTATTCTACTATTTTGGGCTTACTCTATAGCTTTCTGTGTACTGTTATATTGTCAGTTTGGTTTGCTCTATCTATTCGGTAATCACTTGTCATGGTTGATATTGATCTTGGATCGCTTTGTAATCCACAAATTCAGCTTTCATATTTCTTTCGACTCTAAAGAGAAAACATCTATATAGATTTTAGAGTAAGCCTATCTGCCTATGGTTATCAGCAGCTCATTTTGCATAGTAAAAGAAAATTTACTTTTCGTAATCTGAAAATTGGAGAAGCATTTCATTGACAAGATCTATGTTGCAGAAAGTGGCATGGACTGTGGCGGTTTTGGTGATGGTGATCAATGGTTATTTGTTGTTGGATTTCTTCATTTCTGAAGTCAAAGGAGTGTTGTTTGCTCTTGTGGTCTGCAGTGGCACAGCTGCGTATATAACATTTATTGTATATCTTGTTTCACGGAGTGGTGCCCTCCCTTCTACTTTTTTCAGTTCACTTTTCAAGAGGTTTGCAGATTCAGGTAACTGAATCAACATCCACGCGATTGCAAGAAGCACTGGAACATCTGAGTTGTGTTGCGGACCAAATCAAGCCAGTTAGGCGTGAGGGTCCTCCATCTACACTTTCAGGAGCGAAGCTCTTTCGATGTAACATTCTCTAACCATGGTGCATATGTAAGTTACATCTTTCTGAATCGTCAAAATATCCAGACTCGTTAAAAATGACTATACAAATTTAGACAACTGAACACCGTTGCATTATGGAGCTACACACAATCATCTTGTACGGGTTGATAAGTGAAAACAGAAAATATTCTTTTCTCCAGTTTAGTGAGCGGACAAAGCATCGTTGCAATATTCGGGATGGATTTCTTTCCATGTAACTGATGCAACTTTCGCCTCGTTAAAATTTTGCTATCAGAACGAATTGCTTTGTTATTCTTGAGGCAACAGTTTTATCTTGTACCATAGTGAAACCGGTAAATTCTTGTTCTTCTGAGAGTATCGGTAAATACAAAATCAGGAAGTGTTTCGTATCGGTTTCTTTATCCGATTTTGCAAACTTAATGACTTTTTTTAACAGTTTCGTTTAATTAATTTCTTCAGTTCTGACAAATTTAATTGCTGTTTGTAGACCTCAATGAATGGTTTCGTACATATAAATCACGATATGATCTCTAATTTTTTGCATGGATGATTATTATACGATGGTTACGAAAATGGACTGTTCCGATTTGTGAGAGTGTATATTACAACTTACAAGGGTGAGGATTAAGAGTCTTATTTAAGCAGACCTCTAAATCTTCCTCGAGAAGATTTTAAGCTTGTAGTTCCAATGCAAGGATGGTATGATATCTCATGAATCACGGTACAAACATTTCTATCCCTTAAGTCAGAAAGCCTGCCATCCAAGTGATGTAGTCAAGGTTCAAGGAGTTTTTCCGTCAAATGATGATGTGACAGAGATGAGACCAGTAAAAGAAAATTGATGAAACCGGTGAAGGAAGTCTTGAACATCAGTACAGTAACATTTTGATAATTATACGTGAAAATATTAATGCAAAAGCATGAAAATATCATTCATTGATAATTTGGTAGCAAGAGCGAATTATTTGTCGATGTTGTTAGTTTGGGTATGACGGGGTTGCAACCGTGCTAGACTAAAAAAACAAAGAGAAAAACTGTCCATCTTTTTATACTCAACAGAAACCAAGGGCTTTGGTGTGTGGTTAATAAAGACCAATGAAGGATTAATTGAAATGAAATCGTTAATTTTTAAGCAGCAAAAGGAAGACGATGTTTTGTAGATCAATGGACCGATTGCAGGGTCTCACAATCGGTGGGAGATTCAGGAAATATTATTTGGAGTAAGAATAGCAGTTGGCATGTAAGTTTTTTGGGACGGAATAATATGCAAATTGGCATTTCATGGAGCTTTGGTAGGCCCGAACTTATTTGCCAAGTCATGTTGCACACATCTCAACATATGTTAATAACTTTCGAATGAGCATGTTGACTGACGTCAATAGCTTTTAAGCGAGAATGTTGACATATACTAACATATGCCTAGTGAGCCTATCGACAAATGACCATAACAACGCATACAAAGACATGAGGTTAGCGGCTATCCTGCCTAATGCCCATAGAGGCAATTCGTAGAGTAGTTGGAGAGTAACTTTTAAGATTCAAAGGGTGGCATCCAACTTTTTTATGGAGGATTTTTGAACTTGTGAAGGTCAGCTGACCCACCTTGCTTGAAGGGGGATCTACCCCTGCTCACAATCCAATTTGACACTTGATATGCAGACTGCATATGCCACATATCTCATAATTTGATGGGTTATTGCATTGTACAGAGCATTAAAAAAAAAAATAATAATAATAATAAAAATAAAAAAAAAATAAAAACCAGAAAGTTGGCCTGTCTAGTCTTATCCATACTCAATAGCCCAATTTTTTCTCTGAACTTTTCATTACCACCCTTGATAAGTACAATACGTCATTGCATTGGAAACTAACAACATTGCACAAACCAATGTGATAATCAGTAGTGAAAAGTGATTTTCATATTCTTAATGAGCCATTCACACATCATTCTTTATTTATAAATAGTCAATTGAACAAATGAAACAAAATCAACAATAATAATTAAACAATGTAGTATAACAATTCAAAAAGTATGTGTTTAACATTTCCTATCAATAAATACAGAGACACCGAAGTTTTTCTTTCTTTAAATTTCATTCGATTTTTTCATATGATGTGGGACCTATGAAATCAAAAAAATTCATGTGGAATCCATTCTATGCAGCAGAGTTCCGATAAAAATTGATGTCTATCTTCTATGGAATTAGTCGTCGACTGCTCAAGTGCAAGGACAAAGTACTGCATGCAATAAACTCTATTGAATTGAACTGCATCGATCTCTCCCAACGTACAAGATTCACTGCCTTCCCTTCTCTTTTTCACTGGGGATTGATTCACAAGCGTACCCCCAGAAGGTGATTTTTATCCCTTATTATTCTCGTGTCTCGCAAGCTAAAGAAAATAAGATGCATGGATGGAGGCCACCATAGTTTGGCACCCAAATTACCCCAGGGGAAGGCCCGCATAAGGGTTGGCTAGGGCAACAGTTCGTAGAGTCCCACACTAAGTATTTTTTGAGTACATCGATAATTTTACATTAGGAGAGAGGCAGTTCGGCTAAGTCACATAATGAGCAGCATAATTTGGTATCGAATTCGCCATCCACGATATTCGAACATAAAACCTCTCATTTCTAAGCGAAGAAAAATACCACCAAACCGTAATACTGACTCATCCCACACTATTTTAACCATTAAATTTTAATTTTTGTATTTTGAAAAAAATTCTAGCAGTAAAACATCCAGAGAATATTTCATTCTCTGGAGTCTTAAATATCGTAGAAAACCACATCTTTATTTATTTCTATGTGTAAGCCATTCTTTATATGTGTGATCGTTGACCACATAATTGCCGAGTCTCACAATATATAAAAAAGTTATAGATACATGTTTGACAATAAAAAGTATGATATGATTAAACACACCTACTCTTTTTATATATTGATCGTATCATACTTTTTATTGTCAAACATCTTAGTATCTGTTACTTACCCTTTTCTTTTCAATTTCTGGTATCTCTGTATTTACCTATCAATTTTTTTTTTTCATTACAATTCACTCTCAGTGACGTACTCGAGAGGGTCTCTTATTTTTTCCCTTCGGATACACCAAAAAAAAAAAAAAAGAATGAATGAAATTCAAAAACAAATAAAGGAGAATGCTAGGGAGATCATGTTAAAATGTCTCAGTATTAATAGTAAAAAATTGGCAGCAACAATGTTTTTTAACCAAAAAGCCACTGATATGACATGATATGGATTAACAACCCTCACTCTTGTTGCCAAAATTGAAAGCAACTTTATTTTTTTAATAAAATTATTAAACACATTTTTCTATTTTTATTTTAAAATATTTATTATAAATGGCTTTATTCACAACAATCCTATCTATTATTTTGGAGATGTATATTTGTTCCCTTTTATTGGACAGAATTTCAATGAATTAGATTCACATGAACCATTAACTGCCTTTTCCAATACAAAGTGAAGCATTTAGGTTTCTGATTTTTATCTTGTTCTATTGTAATGGTAATTTGACCCTCAAATTTCTTTGTTTTTGTATTTCCAGAAATGCAGAATATGAGTGTGTGACTTAGCCAGGAGGATCCTCTCCGGATCCTCAAATCGTATTCGTTTACCGTATATCATGCGATCAATTTTCATGATGTACTATTTATATTTAATTTAAAATAAAAGTATTAAAAATGATTTATAACCGCACGATGTACGATGAACGGAGAAGATTTGGGGATTCCTAAGATCCTCATTCGTGACTTGTCATAGTTGATCATATGTATAGTACAAAGAATGGATTTGTCATAATATTATGTAATAAAATAATAATTTAGTTTGACATATTGTGTTTGAGATCAAAACTTTAAAACATGTCACAATGCCAAATAAAATGTCAGATTTAAATTTTATGTTTTGGAGCCACTTAGTACTGCGGCTTAGTAGCGTGTTCACTTATATGTGAGAGGACGATTCTCATCAAAAATAAATTTTAACTACTTTATCATTAGCCCATTGTAAGACTTGTTCAACTCATGTCAACAAAATACAAAACCCTAGTAGCATAAAGATGCAACGATCCTGTTGGCCAATGGACCCAATATCTGTTAATATTTTCTTTTGGGGCCCATTGTTTGAGGTGACAGACATACGCCGCGAACAGAGAGAGACATGGCCACCTTATTCTCTTTCTCTTCACGCTATCTCGCATGAAAACTTTCCATAAATTGCATGCAAACTCAGACCCCTATTGAAACTCTCTCACTCCCCATTTCAGTCTCCCACTGGTCAAGCTTTTTCCCATATTTTCAATTCCCCCCAGAATTTCCCCTAATTAAATATCTCCCTCTTCCTCTCCCTCTCCCTCTCTCTCTCATCGCAATTTCAGAACCCTGTTCTCTCAAAAATCTCGGAAAGTTCGAAGCTTTCTCTCACTCTCAAAACTCTGTTGTCGGAATTTCATAGCTGTTGAGGCAGAGGATGAAGGGTTTTCGCGGTTTCCCGGAAACGGCGTCGCTTTGGGCTCCGGAATTTTCGTTGCCGGAATGTGTGCCCGGAAGCTCATCGTTGCAGAACCACATTGGGGGAGAATCCCATTCTGATCAAACCCTGGAGGCTGCCTTTTCTCGCCTAAATGTGTCAGCTTTCAGCCGCCAGCAGTCGCGGATTTCAGGCATTGACGGCGGCGATTACAGTAATGGGCCGGCGCTGAACTACCCATCAAGCGATCACGGATTTAGCGGCGGAAATTCGATGCCTTTTTGCGGCGGCGAGGCGTTGCAGAGTCGTCTGAACTCACAGAACGGCGGGGGTGGGGATTTAGGGAATTTTGGTCGTGAAAATTGCTGGGTGGGAAATGGCTCGAATGGCTTTGTTCCCAATCAAGATTGCTGGGTGCATTCTGACATTGCTGGGTTTCAAAAACCTCTGGATCGCCTGTCGTTGGCTGATTTGCGCGGAAATATCTCTGCTTTGGCCAAGCAGCAGCACGGCTGTCGTTTTCTGCAGAAAACAATGGAGGATGCACCGAACAGGGATGTGATTGATTTAATATTCTTGGAGATTATGGAAAATGTGGTCGTTTTGATGCTCGACCCTTACGGGAACTATGTCGTTCAGAAGCTTGTGGAGGTCTGCACCGAAGAGCAGAGGACCCGTATGCTTTCGAAGTTGATATTGGAGAGTCATGCGTCACTGGTTTGTATTGCCCTCGACACTCGCGGGTATGGTCTGCGTAAATGCTCTTAATCACTTAAGTTACAAGCCCGTTGCATTTGTTATTTGTATATATGTGGGTAATTGTTCTAACTTCTAAGATTGCTGACCAAATAAGTTTGGTAATTGTTCCCATCTTTCTTGTGACAGGACTCGTACTGTACAGAAATTGTTGCAGTACGTTACTAGCCAAGAGCAAGTGTCGTTGATTATGGGAGCTCTGAGCCCTGCTGCCGCTGTGTTGAGTAAGAACAACAACTGGCCAACATGTGATCGAACAGTGCTTAGAGAATTTTTCTGAGGAAGACAACAGGGTAATGTTTCCGTCCTGTTACTCTACAGCCTACGCGATTTGCAATTAACGTTGTATCTTGTTATGTTAGTCTTACATGTTGCAGTTGGATTTGGATTTGAATGTTGGCTGGTTCTGCTCGTCTTTTTTGTGATCGTTACGTGTTGCAAGAATCCACGATAAGTACTTACTCTTGATCAATAAAGTTATATGATTTTAAGCCGATCCACAGCTTGTGGCTGGAACTTTATTAGCCTATTAGCTTTTGAAAGCGGGAAACTATCATCCATGCACCTAATGTTATTTCTAATAGGCTATCATGGGTCGTGATTTGTTCAAACAAAGAGTGTGATATATCCATTTGGAATTAAATTTTAACTGCAGAAGGGACTAGATTGGACCCTCACTTCCACCCTAATTGAACAACCAAAATTTTAGGCTTTTTATTTCTAAATATGTCCGGTGAAGCACATGAATTTTGTATCCATGATTTACATGATGGAATCTTGTAATTGAAGGTTATGTAGATCATTAGTTTCAATAGATAATCTTTATTTTCGTAGTTACTTCTCATATCAACGGTTTTCACCTTGTGTTCCACATCATATTTTCACATCCAACGTTGGTATTTTAGAAAGGGACATGCATAATAAAGAAATCATGTCACTTGTAGATACAAGATCTGGTGATCAAGAAGCGCCAATCTTTCCATGTTACTTAAAGAATCGTTTTAGAAGCTCCTTGTAACTAGTCCTTGAATCCACTCTCCTGAAGTACAGGACATTGTATCTTGATTTCTAGCCACATTTTCTTTGGCAGGGTCTTCTGCTTGTGGTGGCTATTAATTGTTCCACAATTGGGAAGGACAAAAGTGGCTGTTGTGTGCTACAAAAGTGCATTGAACACTCTAGTGGTGAAAATAGAGAACGCCTTGTTGCTGCTATCATAGCGCAAGCAACAGTACTTGCAGTAGATCGCTACTGGGTTTGTTCCTATGATTTTTCATCCAAACTTTTTAAACATAATGCTCTAAATCTTTACTTAATGTTTTCTGTTATTTTCCCAATACCCTAGAAACTACGTGGTGCAACATTTACTGGGTTTGAGGATCCCGCAAATCACACAAAATCTTTTGAGACAACTTCAGGGCAGTTATATTTCTATATCATTGAATAAGTTTGGTAGCTGCGTTGTGGAGAAATGCTTGTCCGAGTCAAGCGAGGAACAATCTTCACAGATTATATTTGAGTTGGTCACCAACCCAAATGTGTCAATGCTTCTTGTTCACCAGTATGGGAACTTTGTCATCCAGACAGCACTCGAGGTTTCTAAGGTTAGATCATCTAAGTGCTTGGATGTTTTTACTTTACTTCATTTTACTTGAAAACGTTTTGTGAAGATTTAAATTGATACGATATCCTAGCACTCTACGTTTCTTAACTATCAACTTATGATCTCTGTAGCTGTGAAATTATCTTTTGATATGCTCATCGGTCTTTTAAGCCTAGATGATTTTGATTAAGTTTCAATTGTGTGGTTTTTAAATCTCATTTATTGCACAAGAACAGGGTATCTACCATGAAGCTCTACTAAATCTGGTTAATTTATACTCCGACTTTCTGGGTGGCAATTCTTATGGAAGAAAAGTACTTGCTCGGCTTGACAGGTGCCTGCGACGGATATAGACATGCAAGTAAGAAATTGCATCTCTAGGCGTCTGTTGTGTTGTTCTCATTTTTCAGTCCCAAATATAGATGCAGATGGATTGATCTCACTGTCCTGTTGTTTCGCTATCTTGTAGAGTTTCTTCCGCCTACGTTGCAAAGTGACTTTTATAGGTGTTGGAACAACAGAAAATATGCGTGTGGATATCTGCAGCCTGTTAGGAGCTAACTTTAGTATTGTAATATCGAAATCCTGTCGAAAGGATCCCAGAGGGATGGTTAATGTCCGTTACGAAACTGTAGAGTTGTGTGATCCTCCCGTTGTACTGGGGGAATAGGATTTTGTATATTGTGATCTCTCCCACACTTGATTGTTGTGCTCTGTTATGTGAACTAGGAAGGCAATAGCTACGTTGGAATTGATCTGAATTAACTCTGCTGTAATTTTCTTTTCTTTTATTTACGTAAAAGTTAAAACTATTGAGATGCTATTTGTATTTACATAGGGAAACTTTTATTCACAATTCTGGATGGAATATTGTTCAGTAATTTAAAAAATAATAATAATTTATGTTTGCTGTATTTGGGATAAAAGAAATTCATTTAAATTTTGTTTTTCCTTATTGTTCACTTTAGTCCTTACCTTTGGATTTGTTGAAATTGATGTATATTTTGAACCAGCAATATTCTAAACTATGGAGATCGAGATTGTGAGAAAAGTTGGTGTTTGGCAATAAGAAGAGTGAAACAACTTCTTATAAGGCCTTGCAGATTGTTTTTAGAAATCGTTTGATAACTATTTAATTTTTTGTTTATGTCTTTTACACCTTTTTTTTAGCTTCTTATGCAATTTTTCTTTGTTTTTGAGCATTGGATTGAGTAAATCAATTGAAAACATCTGACATGAGGGTGAGATTAAATCTTCTGCACCTATTTTGTGTCACCTATATCATTAATTGACATGTGTTAAGTTTATGACAACAAAGTTAAGAAATGTTAAGTTTATTAACACATGACAACCACAGATAAATGCTACAAAAAAGCTACACACAAAATAAGGACAGCAGATTTGAACTCATGCTCCGTGAGGGTAGGAGGAGAAAAAACATTGCTAATTATTTTCCTACCAAGTACAAAGAAGGACCGAAAAATATTAATTTTCCATTCTATTAAGAAAATATTTTCTAGAGAAACGAATAAAATTATTGGCTAACATAATTGAGAAGATTTCTGGCAATCGCTAGCAAACATTGCCATCCAAAATTTTTATTCGTTGACTTAAGTTCACGTGGAACGGCCCAATTAGTATTTTTACCGCCGTAAAATTAAATCGCCGCCAATTCCACACCAAAAATCACGGGACTATATAAACCTTCTGAAAAAATTAAAATAAAAAGTAAAATTCAGGTCCAAAGAAATTTCATTTGTGAAGCAGTGCGTTTGAACCGTGCGACGACGGACGACTAAAGTCCTCTACGTCTCTGTTGTAGTAGGCAGCAGCCATGGCTCGGCGGACCTCGCTCCTTCTCATCTACTTCCTGCTGCTGAACCTCTGCTGCGCGTTTGCTTCACTTTCCGACGATCACCGCCGTCCGATGATCCTCCCTCTCCATCTCTCGTCTCCCAAATCCAATTGGCTCCACCGGCGACCCTTCGACGGCCGGCGGCTCCAGAGATCGGTGCCCAACGCCCACATGAGGCTCTATGACGACCTCCTCGCCAACGGGTTTGACTTTCCTCCCAAATTTCCCTAGTTTTGTAGCCTTTGATATTTCGAATTATATGCTGATCGGAAGGTTCGGGAACTTGGAATTGGAAACAGGTACTACACGACGCGGCTGTGGATTGGGACGCCGCCGCAGCAATTCGCGCTGATTGTGGATACGGGAAGTACGGTGACTTATGTGCCTTGCTTTGACTGTGCGCAGTGTGGTTATCATCAGGTTCGGCTTCATTTCCGTGCTTAAGTTAATTGTAGTTATTAGTTACTGTGCAATTAGGTTTTACCTGTTTAACATACAGTTACTTATTTATTTTTATACTTTCCCATTTCTCTAGTTTTGGATACCTTCCTAATCATGTTAAATTGTTAATTGCATCGAATAAATGCTTGAATCGCATCTAGGATTGACTTTAATTGATGAGCCGAAAAAGCTCGACAATTGTTGTCTAGTGTTCTTGATTGAAATTCTATATAAAGTTTAGCATGGAGTAGGATTCTCTCCTCGCTTAAATTCCCTTCTCCTTCCCTCCCTCCTATTTGAACAGTCACGTTTAAGCCACTTCAACATCTTGTGATGACTTTTTAATAGAGGAAGACAAAAATGAAAGTGAAAGGGGACGGGAGGGAAGGGAAGGGAAGGGAAGGGAAGGGGAGGGGATTAGGAGGGGAGAGAATCCTACTCTGTTTAGCATGCTTCTTAAAAATAATAAGGCAGGGACTAAAACAATGTGCATCACATTTCACTAGGTTAGTTGTTGTTTAGTAATGTTTTAGTTTCTATTCCATTTGCTAAAAACAATGAAATAACGGAGAACTGTTTTTGGTTTTCCATGAAATAAAAATCCAACTTTACCAAATGGGTTCTTAGTTATTTCTTTGTTTGGAGCCAAACAATTCCTGTTTTCCTAATTCTTTTCAGTCATTCTGTATAAATTATTTGAATTAACTCATATGTATCGAAGCTAAATTGGGTTTTGTTTTGCAGGACCCCAGGTTCCAGCCCGATTTATCTAGTACATATCAACCTGTGAAGTGTAATATCAATTGTAACTGTGACAATAAAGAAGCTCAATGCACTTATGAACGGCGGTATGCTGAGATGAGCTCTAGTAGTGGGGTACTTGGTGAGGACGTCATTTCTTTTGGTAACGAGAGTGTTCTTGTGCCCCAGCGTGCTGTTTTTGGTTGTGAAAATATTGAAACTGGTGATCTTTACCGTCAACGTGCTGATGGCATTATCGGTTTGGGTCGTGGTCAACTCAGTGTGATGGATCAACTTGTTGACAAGGGTGTTATTAGTGACTCATTCTCATTATGCTATGGAGGGATGGGTGTAGGAGGGGGTGCCATGGTTCTTGGTGGGATGAAATCTCCCCCTGATATGGTATTTGCCAATTCAGATCGCTTTCGCAGGTACAGACTTTTATAATACCAATAATTTCAAACCTATTTTCATGAAGAATGTATTTTGTGCATCTCACACATATACTTTAGTTCTGGGATTGAAACAGTCCGTATTACAACATTGACCTGAAGGAAATACATGTGGCCGGCCAACCTTTGAAGTTAAATCCCAAGATCTTTGATGGCAAGCATGGAACTGTATTGGATAGTGGAACTACTTATGCGTACCTTCCAAAGGATGCTTTTCATGCGTTTAAGGATGCTGTAAGTTTTCATCTTTTGACTTTCCTACTCTGTTTTAATACCTCTAAAATCTAGCTGATCCTGATACTTATAAGAAAAGGTCAAGGGTTTTTTTTTTTCATGCGTTTAAGGATGCTGTAAGTCTTCATCTTTTGAGTTTCCTACTCTGTTTTAATACTTCTAGAATCTAGCTGATCCTGATACCTATAAGAAAAGGTCAAGGGGTTTTTTTTTTCTTTTCTTTTTTTTTTTTTTTTTTTTTTGAATAGAAAGGTAAATGGAAAAGGTGCTTTATTGTTTACTTAAGAGAAAAACAATTGAACTATTTACCTGAGGAAATTATTTAAGGGAAGTATTTCTGTTTGCAGTCCATCCCTCTTTGAACCATCAAGTAATGGTAAATTTTTTTGGTTGGGAAATGTGCAGATTAAGAGGCAAATTGAGTCCCTCAAACAAATCCATGGTCCTGACCCAAATTATCAAGATATTTGTTTTTCAGGAGCTGGAAGGTAATTCTTGTAGAAAACTTGCATTGCGTGAGGTTTGCATGCATTTCTTGATTTACTAATTGACTTAATTCTTTATCTGAAAGTTTAACATGGAATTGTGCTTTAGGGATGTCACCCAACTATCAAAAGTTTTTCCACAGGTTGATATGGTATTCGGCAATGGGCAGAAGTTATCACTGTCTCCAGAGAATTACCTGTTCCCGGTAACTTGATTACTTACTGTTCTTGAGCATGTTATTTTTAAATCATTAATGTGGCAAATATGATTCAAGATTGTTCTGAGGCTATTAGGCTTTCATAATTCGAAGCTCTTATCTATAATCTATACTTTTGTTAAGAGAACTCTCTTTGTCGTTAAGAGAACTCTCTTTGTCATTCATCACATAGGAAAAATCAAATATTCTATTATTTAAGTAATTCCTATACTGGGTTCACAAGTTAAGAATAGTGTAATAATTTTGTATAGCCTCATTTCTACGTTGCATTCTCTCCGCTATAAACCTGGTTGTGTTGCACTAACATTGTGTATATGATTCTTATTGCTCATATCTCACTTTACACACACATTTTGATGCATTGTTTCTCTCTGTTTTGCTTGTTCCTCAGCATACAAAGGTTGGTGGTGCTTATTGCCTGGGGGTTTTTGAAAATGGTGATGATACTACCCTTTTAGGAGGTTAGTGGTTGCAAAATCACTCTATATCGGATGGTTTTGTATTGTTTTGCAAATCCTTTTGTACAACCACATATTGCGTACACATTGGAAATAACATATGCCCTCCCCTTTTATGTCCCAAACAGGTCCCAGCATTTGCACAACTGCAAGTGGGGATAGCTTACTATACGTTTGTTGAACTGTGCAGGAATCATTACACGTAATACCCTTGTGACTTATGACCGGAAAAACGATAAGATTGGCTTTTGGAAAACTAATTGTTCTGAACTATGGAAGAGATTGAATTATAATAATGCCCCACCTCCAGCACCTTTAGCTTCTGATGGCCGGAATATGAGTGTAGAAATTTCTCCTAACATTGCCCCAGGTGGGATTGCCTGAAACATTTCTTCCAGGTAGAGTTAGTTTTTTAGTCAAATGTTCTAATGACCTTTATGATGCTCTCAAATTCAAGAATGTCATTATTGAACCATATTGGACTTTGATTCAGAATACACTAACAGTGTATCTGAGGTTGTTAGTGCTGGATGTATAATTTCTTACTCTGACATTTCAATGTTAGGTTGACTCATTTCCAATCCAATTTGACAATTTTTTTTCGTTTATAGTTTCTCTTGTAATGCATTTGAAACTTGCTTTTCCAATGCAAGTTTTCCTATTGTTTTGGTTGACATCTCAAATGTTTGATAACAGGTGAACTTCAAATAGGGCTAATAAGTTTCGATATGATGCTGAGCATCAATAACACTATGAAACCCAACTTCACAGAACTGGCAGATTCTATTGCTCATGAGCTGGAAGTAGATATTTCCCAGGTATAGTTTTGCGAAGTTTAGCTATTTTATCTTGGACTTGAGAGCGTAGTTTTTTGTTTTGTTTTTATTGGGTCTTGCATGATTGACATGGGTTGGGTCTGGGCCACCCTAACCATGTAGCATCATCCTCTACCAATACTCAAGTATGATTCAAGAATTTAACATCTACCTGTGAATAATCAAAGATGAAATTACTCCACCCTCCCCCAAGG